TTTTTTTTATTTAACAATAATAAAGCAAGTCTTTAGAGATTTATAATGACATTTTGAAAATATGTATGCACATGTATTCCTTTCGCAAGGAAAGGGCAACCGCATTAGTTATGTAGCAGGTGAGGAAGGAATCTGTTAATTGTGTCTGCATTTAAAAATGGCATTAGAAAGCTTTAACGCCAGTAGCTTATGATTTCTTGCTTAAAATGCGTGAAAAATTAAAAATGATTATTAAAACTTTTGTTATTTTGAAAAAAAAAAATGTAAACGAATTAATGAATAAACAAAAAAAAAAAAAAAATATTGCACGTAACGACTTTCATTCTACTTAATTTTAAAATGATTATTACATTGGATGATGAAGGCACGATTAAAATGAAGTTTAGAAGGCAATGTTCACGATATTAAAACATGGGAATGTTTTATTTAAATATATCTGTAGCCGAGGGCGATATAAACCACAGGAAATTGATCGAGAATGATAAGCTGGGTTGGTAGGACAATCACGTGTGTTCCTAAAATGGAGTCAAGTTCCGAGCAAAAGCAGTGAGTGTAGCACACCTTTTAACAATGTCTGCCGACATTTTGCATGCACCCGTTTGTGCCATGTAATAATAAAATGGATATAATAAATAATAAAAGAAGCGGGATATAATGCAAGCGATTACGTTCCAAATTAATTATGAAAGAGACGAGCTCTAGTATAATTCATTAAAATTAAAATTAGTACATTTACCGGGAACAACTTTTTGTTCTAGTTTTTATCTCTCTCTACACTACTTGAGTTGTAAGGATATATTAACTTTGCGACTATCTGTGCTGGAGATAGACCCAGCTTTTATTATATGAACTGATTCAGAGTCACTTTCTGAATCGATCTAGGCTTGTCTGTCCATCTGTCCATTCACCTTCTAAGTTTTTCTATCCATCTATGCACTTGTCGGTCCGTCCGTCCACCCAGCTTTTCAGTTTGTCTATCCGTCTATCCACTTGCCTGTCCATCCATTGATCTACCTTTTAAGTTTGTCCATCCGTTCATCCACTTGTCTGTCTGTCTGCCAGTCTTGTTTTTTGTGTTCCACTTACAAGTCACACATTTCGAGAGAAATCGATCCAGTATTGGATCGATATTCAATTGTTGGCCGTGTCCTACTACATTGTTTTTACGTATCCCACTTTAATGTTTATAGCAAATAACGCCTGTAATGGAATCAAAGCACAAGCTTGACCGAGTGCAACTGAAAAATTCAAAAAGTAATACCAATATTAACATGTTAAAAATAGCAGTTAAAAGAAGAGTGATAATTCTGCAAATTAAGTTGGCAGGTAGTAATCGATAACCGGCATCTTTCACTGATCACGATAATCCCTACCGTTCAAGTAGAAAAGAGGAAAGCCGCATGAGCTCTATTTATGTCTTTAGACCAGGCTTACGAAACGCCTCGATATGTTAAGCTCCTGCGACTTTGAAATAATAATAGATGCCACGAAACTCGCTGAAGCCCTTTCTCTGCTGTTAGGACTCCGTCGCACTTTTACGCGAATATTGTGCAGTAAAACTGCAAACACCTGTCATACATGAGAGGTCTTATTGAGCGGACACCTAAAACTCATGATTCTCATAGCGATAATCTAAGAAAATCGTCAATGTAACCTTGAGTTTCGAACTGGACCGCTTCAATCCCATTTGCACGGTATTCGCTTGTCGGAAGTAGGCTAAATAGGTCAAAAAGAGGCACAACGTGAATTAGATTAAATAAGTTGTCTATTTTCAAAAGGGAAAAGGTAGCTTTTTCTCATTACTCATAAACCACCAGAGATACGACGAAGAAAATTTCCAAGCATTTCCTAGCGATAGTCCTATAAAAATAGAATAATTTTCCGAGTCCACCATATATTCCAGAGTATTGGAATTTCATTTTTTTTTTTTAATAAAAGATCCGTCCGCAGTACTCTCAAGGTCTATGAATATGTACTGTTACGGAAATCCCAAATCCAGGTCGTTTCAATTCCCAAATAATAAATTCCCTAGAGAGGGGAAACCCAACTGCACATACGCGTCGCGTCACGCATTTGCCGGCAGGAGAAAAACGATTAGCGGGTTAACGGATTAAGAATGAAGTCATGTACATAGGTTCGTAATTTTGCCTTTTTTTCTTTCTGTAAGCGCTTCTAAGATTTGTGACTTTTAAGGGTGTCGTTGCGGCATAGTGTCTTTATCTATTGGGCACTTAATATGAGTATGGCCATGTGTCGTTTAATTGTTTCGACATTTGAACTTGTGGGCATGGACTCTGTACTCACCACCTTTACCTATTCGCCTACGCGGAATCGATAAGGCAAACATGAAATCTTACAAAAATTAAGATCGTGTCACAGTTAAAAGTTAGCAGAGATATTGTTCTCTGTTCCATGGAAAAATACCATGTAATAGTGGAACTGGACGTGTGGACGTGTTCCTTATTTAGAGAAATAGTTCTTTAAATGCAAAGAATAATTTTTTCGAAATGGCTCTGTAAACATAGAAATGCGTTCATTCTTAAAGGAAGGTTGCTTCCTGGTGATTAAGGACTTGTCAATCATTTCAGAGAGACTTGCTCGAAGTATTTGTAAGGGTAAATTTTTAAAGAAATACGCAAGAAATTTCTAATTTTTGATATTTACAACATATATACAAATATATATATGTATATATATTTGCGAATGAATATGATTGAACGATGAATCATTCCCGTTCTGGGCTATGTTAGCTAAATCAATTTCCGTTTTCAAGGTCCAATGTCCATCAATGGCCAACAAGAACTTGAATCTCGTAAATATTTGCAATTAATTTAAAGTATTTGCAAAGAAGAAGTGATAAAATTTATATATGAATTACATAAAATATTATAAATCTCAATACTTGCAAAATTCTACACTTATGTAATTTGGTAAATTTTGAAATTTTTTAAATAATTTTTTCCCACAATGTCGACCACTAACTACCACATTACTTATTAACATCTGCACATATAATATGCAATTCATTAAACATGATTTTCTGAAATTTGAAGGTCCTAACTTGTTTCGTATTGCAATGCTACAAGCATGGACGCTTAAGTGTCCTTTTTTTTTACGAATTGTTTATTTTCAGATAGTTTTGATTGATTATAATCCCATAATTATGATTGTGTCAAAAAAAACGCACAAATCCATTAATTTAAATAGTAAATGACTTGAATTTAATTGAAATACCTGCAAACGATTTAAGCAGTCGTACGCGTAACAAGTAAGAAAGTTATACACACGTTAGGTCGAATCTTAGATGTCCTCCAAACCTCCGACAAATGCATTAAATATTTTATTAAACTCGTCTCTCGGAATGAAATCTTAGTTGATCCTCAGAAATCTTCATAAAGAGCTAAAGAGGTAAACAATTCTTATAAGCTTTATAGTTGCCATGCTTTTGTAGGCAAAAGCAGTATTTATATACCGATCGTCATAACTTTCTTTCTCACAGTATCTTTTCGTAGGTAATTATATTGAAATCCTTATTACTTATAATTGCTATGGATTATTAAAAGTTAAAAATTTTTCATTCATTTTGATGGTAACTATAGTGGCATACTCAACACGTTGTATGCTCTTCATCTTTCGACCAAACGGTCTCATCTGAAAAGGACAGACAGATAGATGCACGGGCAAACAGGAAATGGATCAATGGTATCAAAATCTTATTCTCATTACTCATAGCTATTTGTTTTTTCAAAAAATTCCCTGATGTCTACTTGTAGAAGTTACAAACATAACAACTAATTTAGTATTACTCCCTTTCTGTTTTAATGATTATAAAAAGGAAGGAGAGAGAAAGCAATAAAGAGGAAGATGGAGAGGAAAAGAGACAGTACGAGTTGTTGTATGAAGAAAAAAAAAAAAAATTCGAAACCCGGTTAAAAGACGTTTCCGTTGGGCGGCAATTCATTTAATACAGTTATTAACTTCTCTAGCAATTGCATGCCAAGTCTACATGGATTTTTAATTTGCTTTACAGTTGCATACCAATATTTATTTGTTGTTAGTAGGCTTTGCAATATTTTTCAAGATATACGCAAATTGCAATATGTTAAATTTGTTAGGAGACTTGTGCAGTAAAACAATTTTATGGATTTAAGGAGAACGAAAGTGTATTGCGCGTGGGGATACGAGATAAAAATGCAGTGGCAACAGGTATGTAAAGCGAGTAAAGAAAACAGAAGGACCTCTATTGGACAATTAATTGAATTATGACGAATAACGAGTAATATGAAGAATGGAAGAATAAGAAGGATAAGTGATTGCCTTAGGAAGAAAAATGAATTCCAAGACTAAAGCCTTAAAGCACAAGCATCTAAGGCTATCGGGTTTATTGAAACCTTGAGCGCACATGAGAATTGAATCTACGACTATTGAGAATGTTGTTAGTTGACATCTATTATGCCTATTATGGCACTTGGGCGTATGATATATAATCGATTGTTTTTCTTCGAAAAGAAACTTTGATCAATTTTTATTATTGAAAGATATTAGGAATGAAATAATTTAATAATATATTTGAAATGTATTTCGATTCAAAGTTCGTTTTCTATCAACAATATTTGAATAAAACATCTTTAGTTTGCATGTTTTTTTTTTCTCTTTATTTCTTTAGTAGTTTATTTTTCCTGCCACTTGCTCACCTACATTTCGTTAGTTGTCCAAACACTGTCTTGTCTTGTTTATTTGTTAATTTTATTGCATTGCGAATATGAATTGCAATCGCAAGTAAGATGTGTTTGTTCGTATACTGCCAGCAGCAGCAGCATCAGCAGCAGCGGCGGCAAACACATCGGCTTTACGTCTCCTGTAATGCGTGGATATTAAGCTAAGCATATACATACACACACACACACACACACACACACATAAGCAATACGC